GCTCCGCCCACTTGGGGACTCATAAGAACCAGTTATGCGGTGGCTCAGGCCTCTAATCCCAACGCTATGGGAGGCCGTGGCGGGACGATCACTTGAGCCCAGAAGTTTGAAGCTGTCGTGAGCTGTCATCACGCCACTACAGCCTGGGCAACAGAGTGAGAGCCCAACACACACACACACACACACACACAAAGAAAAGAACCCACTTACATTAAAGCCCTGCATTGTGATGGCCCAGAGGCCCCCGCAACTTGGGGTCCCAAAGAAGCACCCCGTTTGTACCCCGGGCTGGTGCGTCTGCTGCCAGCTCGTCTGGTTCATGATTCCACAAGGCAGGTCTAGTTACCACCACTCGCAAACCTCTGTCCTCCTGAGTCGGAAACCCTAAGGTTCAATGAGGTTGAGTTAGTTGCTCAGAAGACGCAGCTTCCCCACCAGTCAGGTTCTTCCCCTCCTGCTCTGGCACACCCCTCGCCCCAGCCTCTGAAAGGAAGTTTTGCAAATGCCACTGTGGTGGCACCCACGGTGAAATACCGTCGTTCCCTAGCAGCCAGCCCCTAGCTCAGAGCTGTGTGGGTCCCATGCAGAGTGGGGGACAATGGCCTTCTCCCAGCCCAGGGTGGTCTTCAGCGCTAGATCCTCCAGCTGGGGCAAGTTTTCCAGCAGCATCCTTAGGCAAGACCCGTCCTGTCCCTTGCAGCCTCAGTTCCCCTTCTCCACATGAGCAGATCAATCAAGACAGACTCCCAGTGCCTTCCTGAGCGTCTGAGTCTCAGGCAACAGGAGGAAAGTTTCTTCTACTTGTAGAAAAGAAGAAAAACAAGAAACAAGGGAAACCTCGGGCCAATCACCTGGCCACAGGCGTGGTTTTGCTTGTTGGAGCCAGGTCTGAGCTGCAGCCAAGCTGGCCCTGCTCTTCCAGGGGGTGGGGCAATCTCCTGCACACCGGGCCCAGATGCCCTGGGGCACAGCCAGTCCCGGCAAAGGGACCACAGCCCCAGGGGAACGGCCTCCCTCGTCACCAAGGCCACCTGCCCGGTGGCTCAGCATGTGGGGCACAACTGTCCTTGCACTTGGGAGCCACAGACTATGAAGGCATCCAGGAAGCTCCAGCAACGCAGCGTTAGGCAGGTCCCTTCACCTGGCTTAGCCCCAGAGTTCTCATCTGTGCAGGGAACACTAGCCCCTTCCTCAGAGAACTGGCAAGGCAGAGGTGAGCCTGCAGGGTGGGCACGGGGGGTCCTGGAGGAAAAGGGTCCCAAGTTCATGCTCACTGGGTGAGCAGCCGGCTTGGCACCCTGTAGATGCTGAACCCAGGTCACTGCCCGTGGTGGGCTCTCAGCACCTGATAGTCCAGAGACTCAGGAACGGCTGTCCGTCCTCCCCCTACTCCTGCGGCTCCTGCAGTCCAGTCCCCAAGCCCGCCTGGCCTCTCTGTTGGTGAAAGCAGCAGCGTGGGAGCCCACGGTCAGCAGGAAGCCCAGCTCCAGCACACGCGCCCTCTCCCAGGGCCTCACCGCCTGTCTTCTCGCAGTAGGGGAAAGGAAGGGTGGAAGGCACTGCCTATCTCACTGGCACATGCACGTCAGACCAGGTGGCCCTGTGTCTCTCCTAAGCCCTGGAGCTTGCTGGATTTGCCGTCTTTTCCGGAAAATCCCAGAAGCAGTGAGGAGACCTGAGGCCTCCCTGCCTGTCCCTTCCCTCCCTCCCTCCCTCCCTGTCTCTCTCCTTCCTCCCCTGAACACACATCACTTGGTCCTGTCCTGTGGTGGGAGTTGGGGACACAGAGCTGCCTGAGATGCAGAGTGCTTACTGCAGGAGCTCCTTTGTGCCAGGAGGGAGAACCGAGCACGGCAGAAAGGGCGAGTGACAGAGTAGGGGACCAAGTGCATGGGGCAGCGTTTGCCTGATGCCGAGAAGGAAGGGGTCCAGGTTGGGGGCTGGGGCAGGATGATGCCCAGGGGGGTCTCTGGCTTGGCTGCTTGGGTGCTGCTGGGACCTGCACTTAAGTAACAAGGGAGGCGGGGGGCGCGTGGGAAGTCGGGAGGTGAGTTTGGATTTGGAAGTGGTGCCTCCCCGTGGAGTTGGACATTCAGGTCCAGAGCTCAGAATGAAGGGTAGACCGCTTGTTCACCTGCAGGTTGGCCACATGGTGCCCCCAGCACTGTGCCTGGTTAGGATCAGCCCTCAGGAGTGTGCACGACCAGCTTCATTCTCTCCCTGCACGAGGACCGTTTCAGTCAGGGTCACATCCAGCCTGCCTGGCCAGCGGCTCATAGGCCCGGCATGCCCAGCAATGCCCCAGTCCTGTCCAGCTCCAGGCCTGCAGGGAGCACCACCGAGTGACACTGGGAGGCAGGCCCCCTACCCTGCCTGGGCAGCTGCCCACCCTGCCAGCATCCCTCCCCATCGGCCTCTGCCCAGGAGAGCCACCAGACAAATCCATTAGTTCAGCCACCCCGACGCAGGCAAATGTCCTCATCTGGCTTCAGTTACCCAGACAGAGAACTTCCTGGTCATACCAGTGGTGCCCATCAGGAAAGCACAGTGCTGCTTTGCCTTGAATCTAGCAGAGTCTGGCTTCTTCCCCCACTCATGGCCCCTTTCCTGCTGTGCCCCACATTCTGCCTGGGGCCCGGGGCCAGCAGCTTCACTGAGCTGAGCACAACCTGAGGCCTGGCAAGAGCCCCGAAGCTTTGTGGGTGGCCACTGGGCCTTCTTCCTCCTACAGCCAGAGGAACACGGTGCTGCGTGTGCTGGGGGGTTCCCATTCCCACACATCGCTCTCATTGAAAACAGGCGCAGAGAGGAGGAAAGGCCCCCCGAGGGTGCTGACCTGCCCCCCAAACCTGGGGCTTAGTTAATACCCGGGGCCAGTCATCCAGTGTGACTGGCTCCGGAAGTTCCCAGGCACCATCAGCCCCGCACAGGCCACTCACTGGGGAGGAGATCAAGGCAGGTGTTTCGGCCACAACAGGTCTGAGATGCTGGTGGGACAAGCACGTGGAGATAGGAAGGTAATTGGCCGTACCCCAGTGTGGGTGTCGCAGGCCTCGGCCGAGAGCGTGGGCCTGGAGATGCCTCCTAAGCTATAAACCCACACAGTATAAGGAGCTGTTGTCTGTTCTGGGGGTCCCTGAATCCTGGCCTTGCCAGCTCTACACAGCCCCTGGCAATTCCAGCGTAAACCCCAAATTCAGGGTCTGTGTCCAGGATGGGAGAAACCAAGGGCTACGTCCCTGGTGTGTGTTTTTGCCCTTAAAACACAGGGAAGCAAGAAGTAGCATGTTTTTCATTTTTAAATTTCGTTTAACCATCCTCACCTCAAGTCTCCAGTCCATGAAGCTGGCAAGAAACTCAGTCTCGCCTGACCCCTGGGCCTGCAAAGCTTTTGGCGTGTAGCGTAGCACGGAGGGCCCCTCTCCACCTGAAGGGATCTCTTCTCTCTCACTGTTTCTCAGAGACTGGCCCTCCCTCCTCCCCTTCCCTTAACAAAAGTCGGGAAACACCTCCCACAAGACACACAGACACAAACCTGCATACACAGACACACACACTCACATGCACACAGACACAAACCTACATACACAGACACACACACAGAAACAGAGACACACACAGACACATGCACAGACACACACAGAAACACAGACACACACACAGACACTCCCATGCACACAGACACAAACCTACATACACAGACACACACAGATACTCACATGCACACAGACACAAACCTACATACACAGACACACACAGATACTCACATGCACACAGACACAAACCTACACACACAGACACTCCCATGCACACAGACACAACCCTACATACACAGACACGCACAGAAACACAGAGACACACACTCACATGCACACAGACACTCATAGAGACACACACGGACACACATGCACAGACACACACTCATTTTTCCATCCTGCCACAGGCGCGATCGGGGCCAGTCTCCCTGCATGCCCTTCATGGTTGTTCTGGAAACTCGAGGGGGTTTGAGGTTGGCTTTTGCAGGAAAGGGCAGTGCCTTGTCATAGGGTCACAGCCTGTCCCACTGTTGCCTCCAGGCCCAGGCCAGAGCCTGGCATGCAGTGGGTGAGCAACACGTATCAAATGCCATTTACACATTGCAATCTTGTACCTGCACCCAACTTCACTGAAACAGGGGCGAGAAGGGGCGCCGGGAAGGATGGCAGTGAGCGCCACAGAGGTGAGGGGAGGGAGAGGGAGGCCTCAGACCTCTGCTGCCACGGCCAGAGCCAAAGCGCCTCCTTCAGCGTTGAGGTCACTCTGGTCTCTCGGGGCCTGACGTGGGCAAAGGGCTAGAGGCGGAGGTCGCGGGGTCTGCACCGTAAATTCAGAAGGGCTTACGGTGCGCAGATGGAGGATGGATGTGGACGGGAAGCCCCGAAGGCGGCTGAGCAGCTCCCTGGCTCTGGGGAAGGAGGAGCTGGAGGCCCCAGCGAGTGGCGAGGACTGCAGGCGGATCGCGTAGCGCCTGTCGTGACTGAATTTCAGCGCTGCGCAGCCGTGACGGCCTCTTCGTTGTGTTGGCTTTGTTGTTTTACTTTAGTGAATGTTCAGAAGCATTTCTCGGGGCTTTCCTAAGATAACCCGCCCTTACTTTCCTCCTAAGTCTGAAGTTTCTCAGCTGCAAACGCGTCTGCCTCAGGATCATCCCGTGGGAATCTTTGTGATTGAGGGAGGGCTTAGGAATGACCAAGTGAACCAATGATTAAATAACAGAATGGGTGCGTGGGGCATGAGGGATGCGGCCAGCTCGGGAGGGGGGTTGGCCGAACAGGCGAGGTAGTGGCAGAAGGAAGGGATTCCTCCCCACGCGTCTCCCCTCCACAGCCAGCAGACCCCCTCGGGCAGGCCACTCACAGAAAGCTGTTGCGAGCAGACCGGTGGGTGGACGGGGCATGCCCCACACAGCCAAGTCCCCTGGCTTCCCTTCTCAGTGAATGCATTCTTGTTTTCCTGTCTAGGGCCCCCTGGACGGCGCGGCAAGCCTGGGAGAAGAGGCGACCCTGGTGAGTCCCAACTTTTCTCAGCACCTGAGTCGAGGCTTGGAAGCCACCATGGCCCCAGGCTCTGGCTGCACGGCCTGCCTACCTGCTTCCCCACCCTGATTCATGCCTTGGCCCTGGGCAGGTGCTCCTCCCTCTTCCAAGTCCAGCCGCTGTTTCCTGAGGCCACAGCACCCAGTACTGCCTTTCCTGGGCTTCTTGGCGTTCACAGTTCCAGGACTGTCGCCTCTCCCCCAGCCATCCCCTGAATCTCATTGTTGGCCTTGAGCACCTCGGCCCCTAGTCTCCCACTCCAGAGCAGCCCCCCTCTCTGAGGCAGAAGGTGATGACTCCGCCAGCCACGACCTCCCCCATGGGTCCTTCAGCACAACCCGGTTCTTCTGTGGGTTTCATCCCTCCCCAGATGTGGCCTGTCCTTCCTTGGCAGAGCCGCCAGGAGGAGACTCCCCCACCTCCCTTCCCTGCAGTCTGCAGAGGCACCTGTATTCGCCACCCTTCCATCCTGCTGCCTCTGCTTCACCCAGAACCCCC